ATCATGTTATTACTTCGAACGATAATCTATTTTAATCAGGTATGGAATTGAGCAAGAGTATACTCTCCTCCAAAAGAATGTTAATTGGCCACTAGGATGGCCTGCTGGAGGTTTCCCTGGACCCCAGGTATATATAAATTCATTTAATGCTTCATCTCAATCCAACTAATCTCAGTTCTAACTTCTAAGATGATTTTAAAGAATGAAGGAAGTTAATTGCTCTTTATCTAGAGTAAAGGATTAGGAGCCCATGTGGGTGGCCCCTTGAAGTCCAGAAGTTAGTTTTTTTTTAAGAGTAAAGGGTCATATTGGTTGAGTAAAGGCATTCATATGAATTCTTGAAGATAACTGGGTGCAGTTATCTTCAAGAATTCATTTGAATGCCTTCCCGATTTAAGTTTTAGCTGAAATTTGGTATGAGTAAACTAGACTTAATGAATAAGATGCTAAAAAATTTTCATCAAAAAAATCCACCGGGAACCGCCCCAAATGGCGACGGCCGGAAAGAGCCTCCTATATAAGGACTTATTTGACCCTTTTTATGCAACTTCGAGTACCAATCTGACCTATCATAATAAAAATATGAAGGAAACAAATGTAATCGATAAATGACATGGCTGCCCTTCATGGCCTCATCTTTAAGTCACGGAGTAACTTTGTTTAATTCTTTTTTCGAAAATTCATTTCATTCAGTTATTAAATTTACTTAACTAGTTCATTAAAAAGTCAACCCCAATTTGTTTTACTTAACTAGTTCATTAAAAAGTCAACCCCAAAATTATTTGGGACTAAGGCTTAAAAAAATTAAGAATTAGTTTTGTTTTTTAGTTTATTAAAAATTAAAATTAACACACGGATACATTTTAAGATAATTCATTTCATTCAGAAATTTCAGCTGCAATTTTTATATTAGCAGATTTAATCACTACAGCTAACTTTTAACTCATCAATCGGGCTCCAAAAAAGCCATGATTTTGGGGCTTCTTTCACCATATTATAATAGCAAAAGCTACTTGTTATAAATAAAATATTAAGCACTCAAATATATGGTATGATATTATGTTAACAGGGACCATATTACTGTGGAATTGGAGCTGACAAAGCTTTTGGGCGTGACATTGTTGACGCACACTACAAAGCATGCCTTTATGCTGGGATCAACATCAGCGGTATTAATGGAGAAGTGATGCCTGGACAGGTTAAATTCTTATTTTATGTTGCAGTGTACTTGATTTTTGGTTTATGTTTTTACATACGAAGTATGTTGTATTGTAGTCTGAACGGAAAATTGAAGTGTATGTTGGAATTCAATTTTATTTTCTCCTGATGTTTGATTTTTATCACAGGAAGGCAAAATGAAATATGTTTATTTGCTCTTTGATTTTTTTGACATTTTTAGATTCTTAGTCTGTACAGCCTAAAATAAGTTTATTGGAATGGTATATCATACAATGATTTTAATGTATACATCAAAAGTAAAAAAAAAATCAACTATAAGATCCCATGACTTCCTCCTTTACAGCCTTTAGCTTTTCATCAAACAATTTACTTTAATTCTTTACCAAACCTTTGATTTTCCTTTTCTTCTTTATTGATTCTTTTGGTTGGCCTTGTAGACAGAGAAAAATATTTGACAATATATTCTTTCTAATATGAACAAGTTTTATGATAATGTGCAGTGGGAATTCCAAGTTGGTCCATCGGTTGGAATTTCAGCTGGTGATGAGGTGTGGGTGGCTAGGTATATTCTCGAGAGGATTGCGGAGATTTCTGGAGTGGTCGTCTCATTTGACCCGAAACCAATTCCTGGTGATTGGAATGGTGCGGGGGCTCACACAAACTACAGGTAACGTTTAGAATAAGAATGCCTTTTGTGTACTAACGGATTTCATATGGCCTGCCTGGTTAGCAAATGAACCTTGCCTTATTTTCTTCTTCTTTTGCAGCACCAAGTCAATGAGGAATGATGGTGGATTTGAAGTGATTAAGAAGGCTATTGAAAAGCTGAAGCTGAAGCACAAGGATCACATTGCTGCATATGGGGAGGGCAATGAGCGCCGTCTGACCGGAAGGCATGAGACCGCTGACATTCACACCTTCTCATGGGGAGTTGCGAACCGTGGTGCGTCTGTTCGTGTGGGACGTGATACAGAGAAGGATGGCAAAGGGTACTTTGAGGACCGGAGGCCAGCTTCCAACATGGATCCCTACGTCGTAACCTCCATGATTGCCGAGACCACTCTACTTTTGAAAGAATAAGCAAATCTTTGCAAGTCTTTGTTTATTGTGGGTGTGGGTTTTTTGTTTGAAACAGAAACCAACCATTGTTGTATTTTCATCGGTTAGTAGGTTAGCTTTCGTAATTCAATAATGCTTTATGCTGTCTTTTTTCTCGTTAGCGGTATATTGATGAACTCAAGGGGCAACTTTTTTTGTCACGCTTTAAGAATAATATATATATTTCTAAAGGATTCAGTGATTTGCGGTGTCATACTCCATTACTTAAGTTCTTGGCGCTTTTAAAATAATTACTTTTCCCAGAACTATGATCCTGTATTAAAGATTTAAAGGAAAAGATATACCCCACAAATAAAATAGTTACAAATATGGAAACAATTACTTCAAATATATGAGGAAATCGCCAAAGTAGGACTAAAACACCTGTCTACGTGTTCAACCACAATGAAAGTTTCATCTTTTGATGACTGGTAGTGGATCTCTAAAACCCGATCGTTCGATTCACCGCACAATGTTTCTCTAAAACCGGATCAATTCTTTAAAACCCCACAATGAAAGTTTCACCTCTCTCGAAAATAAAAAAACCTGACTTGAATGATCCTATGGGTCACATAGACCCCTGAACCAATTGTTCGATTAACTCCTGAATCGTTGAAGTGTCAAAATTGTAAAAAATAATAAATAAATCAAATGTAGAAATTACAAGTCAAAAATTTAAAATAGAGACATTTATCAAATAATAAAATATAAAAAAAATACACTTTGCGGTAAATTCTAAAATACAAACATGGAATATAAACTAAAGTAAATTATTTAACTTTATTTCCACATTTTATATTTTATACACACATAGGGGCTGATCAAGTACAAACAATGTTTATTGTACAAATATTTATATGACGAATCCTTACGATATTTGTATTGCATATAAACAGTCACTGTGTTACATATTACGTAGTATTTTGCAATGAAATAAACAGTTGCATATTAATGTTCAAAGTGTTGCATCCGAATAAAATTTGATTTTTTTACCAAAATGTTTTTGTACGTGTATAGTATAGCCTTTACATCAACTCATCGAATGACAAAGTTGAGTTTGTAATTGGTAAATTAGGAATTGTTTGTATTTGATTCCTTTCACACACACACAAATATTCCCGTCATATATTACCTGACAGGAGCGCTTTTCAGCCACCTCAATTTGAGGTGCTTCTGCTGGATTTTTTTTATGATTATTTGTGAGTGTGTTCTTCATAAAGTATATAGATTATTTCCAAAAAAGTTTAGCTTAAAGTTCAATGGGGAGTTAGCTAAATAAATTATTAAAAAAAACTGCGTTTATATATATATTTTGGTGCATCTTTTTCAATAATATTTTTAATTGACTTCTAGATTGAATTTTATGCTGAAATTTATGGACATAATCTACACTTCATGAAAAACATCCTAACAAAATTTCATCAAAAAATTTACCCGGAAGTACCTCAAATTGAGGTGGTCGGACGGCGCTCCGCTCAATTATTACAAACAATGCTTATTGTGTAAATATTTGTAAGATTCATCTTTACGCTATTCGTATTGCATATCTTTTTTAATGGTAAACTAGCATGGTAGCATGTCCTTGATTCAAAGGCAAAGACTCTTGAGAATTCCTATGATCTGAACTTAAAACGATAACTCTAGCTAAAACACGAGTAGCTCGATTTGCAGACCTCTTGCAAAAAGACTATAAAATTGTCATTTCCTTGAAGTAAATGTCTAATGGCATCCATAACCAAACCCAAATATATCCAGTCTTCTTCCGCTCGAGCAACCTGATTTACTTGAAGTGCATATGAATCGTATTGCATATTAATGTTCAAAGTGTTGCATATTATTTTGCAATGAAATAGGTTGTTGCATATTAAGGTTCAAAGTGTTGCATCCAAAAAAGCTTGATTCTATTACCAAAATGTCACTGTGCATCTATAGCATTTAAATCAATTCATAGAATGACCAAAATGAGTTTGTAGTTTGTAAATAGGAGTTGTTTATAAATGTCAAAAAACATTTATAAGATTATACTAAAAATCATTAGAAAATACAAATGGGTGGGGCATAAAACTGGAATCCATTAATGCTTACGGAAAACATTTAGAGCCCATTTGGAGATAATGTTTTTTCGGAATTAATCGCGTTTATCAGCCAATTTTTTCAGCAAACACGTAACTTTTGATTTCGCGCGTTGAATTATGTAATAATACTTATACTAAAATAAGATTGGAGTTATTTTTCTGTCTGTATTGGTTGCAATTATTGTAAAGGATCATTTTAGCTATTTTTGTATAATTTTTTGATTATTTTATTAATAAAATATATTTTTAATACAAATTTTACATAAATCAATAGAATCAAGTCAATCAAACCACTTCAACTAGAACTTCACAAATTTCAACAGATTCAATCGATTCATCCGATTTTAATATTACCAAACATGCTCTTAGAGAAAATAGATCAATATATAAACGGAATGTTGGCCATGTCCACCAAAATTGACCCCCCAATTTTGGTACAACTTTTTCTGCCTTATTGATTAATTCTGGAATGATGAAGTTTATTTTTTGGAAAAACTATCAAATAATAAATCCTTCTATTATACCTAATTAGACCTCCAACTATAAAGAAAAATGCTCAATTTTATTTTTTAGCTGATTCACGATAGCAATCATGCTTGATGAGTTGATGCACACAAAACATTTACACCTTTCACACACGTTATATATAAAGTTCTCCTCTAAAGAATAATATATTTGACTTGAATCTGATACGAGTTACATAGCTATGTATATATAAGCTAGTCTACGTAAGGATGAGATTGACACCTCATAGTAGCTATTCTCTAGGCAACAACTAACCGTAAGCTAAATCAAAGGAATGGCTAGAAGAGGTACATACATACACGACACTCTATGTACGTACATGCATAAAATGTACATGATAAATAAAGTGTACATGATAAATACAATTATGTTCTAATACGCCCCCGCAAGATGGAGGTGCCGTCGGAAACTCCCATCTTGGACCGAAATTTTTCAAAGAGGCCCCGACTTAGTGGTTTGGTTAAAATATCGGCAATCTGCAACTTGGTAGAGATGTGTTTAACTGATAGCTGTCTCTGGGCTATGAGATCACGAACAAAGTAGAAATCCAATGCTAGGTGCTTCATGCGAGAATGGAAAACCGGATTAACACATACATATGTGGCTCCAAGATTATCACAATAAAGAGTAGGGATTGACGGGAGAGAGATACCAAGTTCACTAAGGACATTACGAACCCATAATAATTCTGCACTAGCATGTGCGACAGCCCGATATTCTGCTTCGGTGGATGAGCGGGAGACGCACTTTTGCTTAGCAGACTTCCAGGAAATAATGTTTGACCCAAGATATAATGCATATGCAGTAGTAGACCTGCCCTCGTCTTGAATATTACCCCAGTTGGAGTCAGAGAAAACGGATAAAGAGAGTGACGGAACACGTTGCAAAAATAAACCAAAGTGGAGTGTGCCCTTTAAATACCGGAGAATACGCTTGACCGCTTGCCAGTGAGATTCCAGGGGATTATGCATGTGCTGAGAGAGCCGATTGACAGCAAAAGAGATGTCAGGGCGAGTGAATGCTAAATATTGTAACAGACCCAGTACCCGCCGATACATTGAAGGATCACTCATAGGCTCCTCAGAAGTGGTAGAAGCTAGCAATGATGAACTCATTGGCGTAGCAGACTCTTTGGCTCCAGACATGTGACAGGTGTTGAGGATAGTGATAATATATTGCTGCTGGGATAAGAACAGCCCTGTGGATGTAGGAATAACCTCTATGCCTAGAAAATGATGGAGAGGGCCCAAGTCCTTTACCGAAAACCGAGTAGTGAGGCGCTCAATGAAGGAATTGACGGCAGTAGATGAGTTTCCGGTAAGTACAATATCATCTACGTACACTAAAAAATATATAAGTGTAGACCCATGTGAGTAGATGAACAACGAGTTATCTGCCTGCGACTTCCGAAAACCACTGGAAAGAAGAAAATTGGCCAGTTCCTGGTACCAAGCCCGAGGGGCTTGTTTGAGGCCATATAAGGCTTTCCGAAGACGACAAACATGTGTGGGATTGCACTTGTCAACATACCCAGGTGGCTGAGTCATGAACACCTCCTCATTCAATGAACCGTGCAAAAACGCATTATTTACGTCAAGTTGCCGAAGCTGCCACTGTCTTGATAAGGCAATGGTTAGTATGATACGAATGGTTGCCGGTTTTGTGACCGGACTGAAAGTTTCAGTATAATCACGCCCATGTTGTTGGAGATACCCACGAGCCACAAGGCGAGCTTTATATCGTGCTATACTGCCATCAGCGTTCCTTTTTACTTTGAACAGCCACTTACAAGAGATAGGGGACTGCCCTGTTCGTTGAACCAAATCCCAGGTTTTGTTGCGTTTGAGTGCATCAAATTCAGCATCCATGGCAGCCTTCCAACGAGGGTCGTGCAGGGCGTTAGTCACACTGGTGGGCTCCAAAGTACTGGGAAGTGGATGGGTCGAGGTAGCATTAAGAAACGCACCCCCAATATATCTAGAGTTGGGTTTTCTAGTGCGTACTGGGCGAGTGGATAAGGGTGATGGGTTTTTATTATGGGATTCTGGATGTTGAGAAAGAGGAGAACTTAATGGGGTGGGGTCTGGTGGGGAAGAGATAAGATGAGAATGGCTAGATAAAGGTGGGACGGTGGAAGTTGTTTGAGATTGGAGTGGTGGGTTGGCTTTTGGTGTGTGTGGTTGGCCGAATATGACTGGAGGAATTAAAGGAGACATAGAAGGCATGGACACGTGGGAAGAAGACGGAGACATGCAGGAGATATTTCCATCGGGACCAACAGGTGGGGACTTGGTGGTACGAAATGGAAAAATATGAGGTATAAATCTCACATGCCGAGACACAAACAAACGGTTAGTGACATGAGATAAACACAAATAAGCTGATTGAGATGTGGAGTACCCAACAAATACACATGGTTCAGATCGGGCATTTATTTTTGTTGATGAGTATGGACGTAGCCAGGGATAGCAAAGACATCCAAAAGGTTGAAGTTTAGTATAATTTGGGCGGCAGTGAAAAAGTCGGTAATAGGGCGAGTCATTTTGGAGGGTAGGGGTAGGGAGACGGTTAATGAGATAAACCGCCGTTTGAAATGCATATGGCCAATGGTGTAAGGGAAGGCCGGAGTAATGAAGAAGAGCGAGACCGGTGTCAACAATGTGACGATGCCGACGCTCAGCAATTCCATTATGCTCCGGGGTATGAGGTGGGGTGGTAAAGTGAGAAATACCGTGTTGGTTGAGATAAGAGCGTAGTTTGATATATTCGCCACCATTATCCGAAAATAAGGATTTAATAGGGAGATTAAAATACTTCTCAACCAAACGATGGAATTGAGGAAATATGGTAGAGACATCAGATTTATGTTTGAGCGGGAATAGCCATATATATCGGGTAAAATAATCAACAAAAATTACATAATAGCCGTGACCATCAAGAGACTTGTTTGTAGTACTCCACACATCAGAATATAATAATTCAAGAGGTCTAGTAGCATTCATAGTATTCGTAAAGAATGGCAACTTTGTACTTTTATTAATAGAACACGACTGACAATGAAATTCTCGAGACAAATGACATGATGACAACTGTTTATTCTGATTAATTAAAAGACTAAAAATACGACTTGACGGATGGCCGAAAACATGATGCCAATCAGGAGGTGCAAATCTCTGGGTGACATGTATGTGCGGCCGATAAGATGAGACGGACTCAATTCTGGAAGGAACATAGTAGACGTCATTAATGTTCTCCCCTCGCATTAGTGGCGCCCCCGTGACTCGATCCTTGACAAGAAAATAAGAAGAGAAAAATTCCACAGAAACATGATTAGTTTTACAAAGTTTTGCAACTGACACAAGATTTTTGTGGAGACTGGGAACACATAAAATATCGGATAAAGAGAGAGATCGGGTTTGGGTGGGAAGTGTGGTATAACCAGTGTGAGTAATAGCAAGAGACTTACCATCACCAAGATGAACCTCGTCAGGACCGCCATAGTCTGTATAAGATGACAAGAGAGAAACATCAGAAGCAACATGGTGAGAAGCACCACTGTCAAATAGCCACGGTTGTCCAGGTGAGGGTGACGTGGTGGCAGTGTGATTCACGGTAGGAGAGGCTGCATACTGAACATGATTGTCACGTAAAAAACGTTGCAATTTGCGGCAACTTTTTACGTCATGTCCAGAATTATCACAAAACTTACATATAATAGAATTAGTGGGTGGCCGCGATGCACCATATGAGCCACCTCGTCCACGACGAGCAGCATGAGATCTACGATCACCATAGGAATTACGACGCTCACTGGAAGAACGCTCAGCAACATGGGTGACATGTGCCGTAGGCACAAGAGCAGATGTGGCAGTGACTTGCTCACGAAGTTTGACCTCATGTTCAAGGAGGATATCCTGCAACTGAGTAATAGGAATGGCAGTTTCACGTACCCTAATTGCAGAAGTGAGTTCGCTGTATTCAGGACCAAGACCATTAAGAATATTAATGACCAAGTCTTCCTCCGGCAACGGATGTTGAGCGAGAGCCAATGCCTCAGACAGGGCATACATCTCGACTAGATATTCTGTTATGGAGCGGGTGCCACGGGCAGCACGGGCAAGCGTGGTTTTGAGGGATATTATACGCCCACGGGATGTGCTAGCATAGGTGAGCGAGAGCTTTTCCCATGCTTGAGTGGCAGTTGTAGCGGACGAAAGGAGCGGCTGGATAGTTTCGGAGCAACTTCCGAGAAGGGCGCTGATGATCGTTTTGTCTTGCCGGTACCATATCGTGTAACATGGATTTTTCTGTGTTTTAGCCGGATCAGTGAATTGAGACGGCGGGGACAGAGAGCCATCGACGTAGAAGTCAAGGCCAAGACCGACCAAAGCATTAAGAACCTGACATTTCCACACCGGAAAATTGGATGCCGTAAGCTTGATCGGAAAATGTGTAGTAGCGGTGATGGATACAACCGGAGTGGATTCAGTGATGTTCATCATCGTGAGGATGATGAGGATAACAACGGAAAAAAAAATTAATGGAAGAAGCTCGTAAGAGATAGGGCTCTGATTACCATAAAGAATAATATATTTGACTTGAATCTGATACGAGTTACATAGCTATGTATATATAAGCTAGTCTACGTAAGGATGAGATTGACACCTCATAGTAGCTATTCTCTAGGCAACAACTAACCGTAAGCTAAATCAAAGGAATGGCTAGAAGAGGTACATACATACACGACACTCTATGTACGTACATGCATAAAATGTACATGATAAATAAAGTGTACATGATAAATACAATTATGTTCTAATATCCTCTTTATACAAAAATCTCTTTCACTCCCTCATCTTCTTTCTTGTTTATCCCATTTTCATCGGCTCATCGCATTCACCATCACCATCTTCATCATCTTCCAGTCCCATCTACCTCACCACATTCATCACCTCATCATCTTTACCATTATAATCTTTTAGGATTGATTGAAAAAAAAGATTTCGAGTCATCTAAAAGTCATCGAGAAATTATTAATGAGCATTTTTGTCTGTGTATACAGACATCGATTTTTTCAATATCTATGTACTCAATCAAAATCATTAAGTAAAATATATGTACAAATTTTCTGTACAGACATTGGTGTGTGTGCTGTGTTGCAAAAATGCCAGACTTGACCACGAAACTTGGTGTCCATGTACAAACATTTAGTTGTCTATACACAGATAATTTGTACATTTTTGTTTGTGCTTAACATTTTTGTAATAAGGCACACAAATTTCACAAAAAAAACATTGGGTTCCATTTCCAATAATATATCCTTTATATGATGTTTTTAATTGGACGATTACAATCCTAACTCATACTAAACTTAAACAGTCGTACGAAACCAGGCTATCTTAGTTTAATCTTAGTTTTCAAGAGATGTAATACGAGATAATAAAATAATAATAACAGTAACAAGAAAAATAGGAATGGTAAGAATGATGATGGTGGTGATAACTGATAACTAAAACCGTAATAATAATAGCAATTTAAATAAGAATAACGCTAACAGCCTAACACTAACACAAATAGCAACAATGGTGGAAGTGGTGGTGGTGTGCAATGGAAAACTTCCACCTAGACGGCTAGACAGTTCAAGCCCCCTCCCTATATAGGAACAGAATACACAAAAGGCGCTAAATGTCATTAGTCATTATTACATATTTGTATCTATTGGCATACTCCCTCCATTTCATAAAACTTGGTAAAGTTTGACTGACACGAAAGATAATGAAGTAAAAACTGTGTGATTGATCTTTTTGTAGAGAAGAGAAATAACAGAAATTACATATTAGTTGATTCAAACGAAAAGTTGCAAAATTTTTGGGATATTCTAAAAAGGAAAGTTAACAAAGTTTTAAAGGAGGGAGAGAATATCTCTCCAGGGTTGACATATAAATCCAAAATGTCCAGGGCAGCAGGTTCATTTGGGTTCAATTGTTGCTCAGAATGTGACACCACTATAATCAAAGGAAGGCATTATCTTTGTACGGGTGTGCAAGGGGGATACCGGCTCTTGTTGACGATCCGAAGTATGTGGCAGAGGAGGAAGCTGACATGGAGGATGCTGTGTTCAGCCCATCAGCATCATTATCATCATCATCATGGTTCTGATCTAGGAGGAGGATGGTTTCGAGTTCCTTCACTCATTGTTGGCCGCTCAACAGTTAATTCTTCCACGCACTGCATTGCCAATCCAGATATGGAGTTTGTCCCAATGGCGTTTCTTATACCGGGATCCAACATGTTCCTCCCCATCCTTGATGTTCGCCTTAACCTCTGGCACAATGTACTTTCCCTTGTCAATTGGCTGTGATCAACTCAAGCATTACAACGCCAAAGCTGTATACATCACTTCTCTCCGTTAGCTGTTCGCTCATATAGTATTCCGGATCCAAATAACCCTGTAGGGGTTAAATCAAATATGTGAAGATTCAGAAATTTCAAAACAACCGGCACAAACTTTTGGGAACATGTTTTTTTAATAACCCCAGGTTTAAGCATAAGCGCAACAAGTTTGCCCCGAATTTTTTAGAGGCCCATATGTAGGGCTAATTTGTAAGGCTTATCAACCACAAATATGAAATTGATTACTTTAATTACTAACAAAGCATGATTAATCGGATTATTAGATAATTCTTGTTTTGTTTAAAGCAATTATTTCCTTGATGTATTACGTAGTATTATTTAATAACTGATCTTTGACCTTATTGGGAGTAATGTTTAGAATTTTGGGTACACCTTTTTACTTGGACTGTAATTTGTCCCAGACCAGACCAGACTTGGATAGTTACAAAAATACAAAGAAACCAGACCTTACCAGACCAGACCAGCAAACTACAATCCAAGTAAAAACATTCTAAGAGGCCGTTATTACATAAAGCAGATCTTTTTGTACAGCTCACCAATGTGCCTTTGACTTGTGTGGATACATGTCCTTTTGTGGCGGCACTTACAAGCTTGGACATGCCAAAATCAGCAACCTTACTGTTAAGTTCTCATCCAGTAGAATATTTGTGGATTTCACATCTCCATGATTAATGGGAGGATTAGCTAGGTCGTGTAGATAAGCTAATCCTCTGGCTGAACCAAGAGCTATGCCAAGTCTCCTCTTCCAATCAATGTTAATGCCTCTCTTCCCTGCCATACACAACAAGACAATAAATTTCTTTAGTGTTTCTATTAACCATTGATAATTATGATGGGGGACTGAGCAGGATTATTATGCGATACAACTAATCTTCTTGCATCCAATCAAGGTTGTTAAACTCGAGATCCTAGCACGGATCGGACGGGGTCTAGGAGATCGTAACTCGGATCGTAAGATTCTACCGTGCAATATATATATATATATATATACGTAGTATATATATATATATATATATATATATATAGACAGGGAAAAGATCAAGTACAAAGTGTGCTTATTGTGCAAATATTTGTACGATGCACCTTGACGTTATTTGCATTGCATATTGAGGTTCAAAGTGTTGCACATTATAAAGTCATAAAAATAACAGTTGCACATTAAGGTGCAACGAGTTGCACCCTAAAAAGTTGGGTTTTATTACAAAAATGACACCTTGCCTTTATGTCCTTTGGATCAACTCATCGGACGGTCAAGATGAGTTTGTACTTTGTAAATTAAGAAGACTTTGTATTTGATCTTTATTCTATATAGACATATATACAATTCAATTCTGTGTAAACACTGAATTTATATTATTATTAAAATTAATAATTACTACGTAATTAATAAAAATATAATGTCAAGACTGAAAGCAATAACATAAAACACTTGGAACATAACAAGCTTAAAAACGGAGTATAAAATACTAGTACAAAACATTTGAAGGGGCTATTTTCAGAAGAGATAACCCACTTGACATGAGCCGATGACTTATTATTGCTGTCAGAACTCAGAACAACTTAAAGACTAGAGTTTAAGGGTCTGTTTGCAACAACTTCTGCTTTAAAAAAAGTGTTTTTTTTAATGAAATGGGAAGAAGTGATTAAATAAAAGTTGATAGTGTTTGAGAAAAAAGTGATTTTGAAAAGTAAAAGTTGGTGGTGTTTGGTAAAATAAGTGATTTTTGTGTAATAGAAAAAGTAAAAGCACTTTTGACACGAAAGCCGAGAAAAATAAAAGTTGTAGTGTTTGGTAAAAGAAGTACTTTTTTAAAGCCAAAAGGCGAGAAGTGATTTTTTTAAAGCGTTTGCAAACCAACCCTAAGCCTACTAAAGAAGCGAACGATTTTTAAAAAGAAAACGGATGAAGGGAACGACACAGAGAACAGAGTGAGAACAGAGAAGGGATGAAGAAAACGACGAGGAACTAAATTTGGAAGTTTTGGAACAATGGGACTATTATTGAATGCAGGATTAGCAAAACACACACATATATAGGATTGCTCAATGCTCACCTCCGAACTACTGGACTAAATTTGTGTCCGAATTTCAATAAAAACAAGAATCGACCATGCAAAGGGAGACTTCAGTTAAAATGAGGGGCCAGGTTGACAGAGAACTCAACCATCCACAACAACAACATTATCCAAGCCTTAATCCCAAAATTTTTTGGGATCAGTAACATGAATCGATCTATTATATCAGAGGCAAAAGAGAAGAAATAAAAGAAGAAGAAGAAGAAGGATAAATAAGATAAGATAAATATAAATATAAGATAACAATAACATAAGAAAGATAGAAGACAAAAATTACATAAGAATATAGAAAGATAAAGAAGATAAACGATAAAAGAAAAAGGAGCTAGAAAAGATAGAAAAGAGATCAATCGTCCAAATGAATGTGCGCCCTCCACTTCGCTCTCTCCAAAACCATACTTTCATCCAACCCAAGAAGACGCATATCAATTCTGATTCCTCTAATTCAAGTATGTTTTGGTGTTCCTCACCCTCTCCTCCTCGCCTCTTCTCCCCACCTTTCAAGTCGTCTAACAGGCGCATCACTCGATATTCTGGTCACATGACCAAACCACCGCAATAGGGACTACTCCTGCATCTTATCTTCTATAGGTGTTATTCTCACTTTTTGTCTGATTATCTCATTACTCAAGCGGTCTTTTTCTGGTCCACACATCCAATGCAACATACGCATCTCTGACACACTCATCTTTTGAATGTGACATTGTTTCACCGCCCAACACTCTGCCATACATTAATGCAAACATAATTGTTGTGCGATAAAATTTACCCTTCAGTCTAGTCGACATACCTCGATCGCATGGAAATCCTAATGCACTCTTCCATTTCATTAACTCGGCTTTGATTCTATGAGACACATCTCCATCTAATTCACCATCCTTTTTAATTATGGATCCCAATTTACGGAACATATCAAAAACACTGATATCTCTTTGTCATCAAGAGTTGTTGGCTCTATCTTTCCAAAATCAACTTGTTGCCCGTGTTGCTACTAAGTTGACCTCGTTGATCATCTAGCTCCGGGAATGGACCTGCAAGATAATCACTAAAAAGAACTAAAAGTATTTTAGTGGCTCGAGACGCGTCAGACGCTGTCCTAAGGAATTATTTCCGGCGTACGGAAATTTCCCCCAAGATATAACGAGCCCTTCGATTATAAAACCGGTACCCGAACTAACGAGAAGAAAACAATATATGAACCCAATAATAATAAAGGATTTTAGCTCAAGGTAAATTGATATCTCTGTATAAAACTTGGTCCTTGTACACAAAATGGTAGTAGTTAGCAGCCGAGCATGCTGATATATACCGAAAGGAAAAGTTTGTTTTGTAGTTTTCTATCTCTATCATATTTCTCATCTGCCACAAGTATATATTTATACACTCAAGGCTTTGAATTCAAAAACAGATTCAGATGAATAAAATTGATGGAGGTACGTTACTTAATCAAATCATTTATTTGCCAATTAAATGGTTGACGTTAGGAAAGTTAGCAAGTGCAAGAATTCAAAGGTTTTAGACTGACCAGCTCAAAATTTAGAAATAAATGTAGGAGATAAAGCAAAATTAAAAGCTTCAGAGTGTAATTAAATAATAGTAAAAAAACGTTAGACATATGACTGGCCATGGAAAAAATTAATATTAAATTTAATCGTTTGAGCCTTAAAAGATTTCCCATAAATTAATTAAACTTTAATTCATTTGAAATACCTTAAAATTTCCAACAATCCCCCACATATTTCAAATGAATATTTTAAGTATTTCCAAATAGTAATTCCTTACTGGGTTCATATATGGGGTGAAGTTTTTCAATCTGGTGTCCGTAGACTTGAACCAGACCTAGACGCTTAAGTCTTTAAATACCGAGTTTATTGGTGAAACGTATAGTTTCTATGAACCAATAATCTTCTTTGGTAAGTCAGTGTCTTAGGGGATCATTTTTCACCCCCACCTTTCTCGTCGTTAACGCCGTTGTGCGCCTCTAGGCCGTGCGCGTGCTTGGTTTTCTTTGAGTGCTCTAGAAGCGTTGTCAATGCTTCATGGAGGCGGCCCCACCTCACACTCATATAGGTGACCTCATCAAGTGTGTCCCGCACTTAACACACCACCCGTAAGGGGTATGACAATCATTAAGAGCTTTAGCTCAACCTCACAAAGAAGTGCAGTCTAGCCTTCCACACCGTAGAAATGGACACTTTACAAGGCTAGCAGAACAAATAGAAGACTTGTTATTACCCATTTGAACTTGCTTCATGGGATCTCCAATCACACAAGTTGGGTTACCATCCCTATTTATTGTCAAAGTGACATTAGTCCATTTCCCTCGATGTTTAAATTAATCTTTTAACGTCCTAGGGATTCTGTCAAAGGAGTAGCTAATTCTTTCACAAAATTAATGGAGTAATTCCATTCTTCAAACATCATTGCACCACTTTTAAGGATGAATGGATATTCACTATATTATCTCATGTGAGTCGACTCATATTACGTCGTTGTATCCCGGCAATACAACGGATAACTCTCAACAAAATATACATCGATGTGACACTTGTGTTCATCGGATAATTTCACTAATACGTTATATCCTAACGGATAATTCTCAATGAAATATATATCATCATTGTATCATTATAATGCAATGGATAATTCTCATATATAACATCATTGTACCTTTCTAGTACAACAGATATTTCTCAATTAAACATATCATCGTTGTATCAATATATTACAACGGATAATCTGAACCATAATTAATGATACCTCTCAAATATATCAATAACTTAAGGTATCCCAACCATCACTTTTGGATTTCATATATTGGCTCAATCTTCAATTCCAGCATTTTAAAATTATCAAATGTCACACACATTTAATTGTAACACACTCACATTTTTATTTATTTATTTATATCAAAGTCATAAGAGAAATTCACATTTTAACATTGAAATGTCAAACTTCTTAACAAGTTTTTCAATATGATGATAGTAAAATACCAACATCCATCCTTGTGACTTTAATACTCAAAATTACTTTTATTATATTTATATATCAACTCAATATAGCTGAAATAAGCATATAAAAAATCCCAGCAACAAATAATTACCAATGCACCACTTAATGTATACACATTTTTTTTTTTCAAAAAAAAATTTATCACATTAATCTCAAAGATATAATAGTTTAAAGTATTGCATACTAGCAGATTAATTCTTCAATTTAAGAAAACCGTATATATGATCCACTATTTCTTCTTATGTAAAAGCATCCAAAAGTTACAAAACTCATTTTTACTCAATGAGATAGGTAGTAAAAATTTAGTTAAGCGCCACCACAATTTTAATTATTCCAAACCAAGTGCATAACTCTTCTAAAATTCAATAATACCTATTTTATGAAGATAATTTCTAGCTCAACTTTTGTTGGCACACCAAGATTCTACCATAGCTCACCTTTAAATTTAAAGAACATATTAAAATTTAGTGTATATAAAAAAATCACCTTTAATGTATATAACATCATCATACCATTATAGTATGAAGGATAACACTCAAATATAACATCGTCGTATCACTCTAGTACAACGGATAATTTTCGATAAAATGTGTCATCGTTATACTCATTTAGTACAATGGAAAACATGATAGAATATATATTACATCATTGTATCAATGATACAATGGATAATTCTCAATAAATTATTCCATCATTGTATTTCGTTAATACAATGGTTGTTTAGCTCACCAAATACATTTTTTGTGTTTTCGAGTTCATCACAATCTTCCGACAATTTTTCCGGATCTCACATAGTGTGTTAAGTTTAATAAATTCACACTTTGAGCATCAAGATGAATTTCTACAAAATGAACAATATCATACTACAAAATTATTCCTAAATTCAACTCAATATATCTCCACACTCAATTAATAATAAAAAATGACACATATTATTTGCATCCACAATTTTTGAATTACACCACAAATCAATTAGTACCCAGTATAATATACGACGCATCTAAAAGCACACCGCACACATGCACAACAATTATTGTACCTCAAATACCCCCACATTTTGAGTATATATATAATAGGTGCAAAAATAATTACTAACAACCATAAGGTCATAAAAATTATCAACATTTTTCGAGAGGAACAACATATAGTTAACATGATAAGGACTTAGCATGCGATCGAATATCAGGATAATTATGCACACTTAGAATAGGCACAATTTAATATTCATCAAAACATATGCCACTAGTCAATTTGAAAAAGTAAACGCACCAATTTATCATCACCGCCAATAAGGTTTATATTTTATTTTGGTGGATTGCTTTTCCCAAAACTTTCATTATCTAGAAAATGACTTTTGAACAAAAGCTATAAGAAACATACCGTAATTTGACCATCATTGGGAGCTAGAATTTGCTTGTCCCACGGGGAGTTTCGGGCACGTTGACTATTCCGTAGGTATAAATTTGTTCGCCGTAAATTTGCTTTCCAAAATCAACTTGTTGCCCGTGTTGCTACTAAGTTGACCTCGTTGATCATCTAGCTCCGGGAATGGACCTGCAAGATAATCACTAAAAAGAACTAAAAGTATATTAGTGGCTCGAGACGCGTCAGACGCTGTCCTAAGGAATTATTTCCGGCGTACGGAAATTTCCCCCAAGATATAACGAGCCCTTCGATTATAAAACCGGTACCCGAACTAACGAGAAGAAAACAATATATGAACCCAATAATAATAAAGGATTTTAGCTCAAGGTAAATTGATATCTCTGTATAAAACTTGGTCCTTGTACACAAAATGGTAGTAGTTAGCAGCCGAGCATGCTGATATATACCGAAAGGAAAAGTTTGTTTTGTAGTTTTCTATCTCTATCATATTTCTCATCTGCCACAAGTATATATTTATACACTCAAGGCTTTGAATTCAAAAACAGATTCAGATGAATAAAATTGATGGAGGTACGTTACTTAATCAAATCATTTATTTGCCAATTAAATGGTTGACGTTAGGAAAGTTAGCAAGTGCAAGAATTCAAAGGTTTTAGACTGACCAGCTCAAAATTTAGAAATAAATGTAGGAGATAAAGCAAAATTAAAAGCTTCAGAGTGTAATTAAATAATAGTAAAAAAACGTTAGACATATGACTGGCCATGGAAAAAATTAATATTAAATTTAATCGTTTGAGCCTTAAAAGATTTCCCATAAATTAATTAAACTTTAATTCATTTGAAATACCTTAAAATTTCCAACAAGAGTAATCTCATTATTACTACTACTTCTACCTCCACCAAACTTGCACTAGAAAATTAGTATATCATTGATGAAGATTTTAGAAACGAACAGGATTACAGTGACTGAAAGAAAGAGAAGAACGGACACTATTGAGAAACTTCAAGTAGTCTCTCGCACTCTAAGGCCCATTTCCAAATCCAATTTCTGCTTCCCTTCCTCCCTCCCATTCTTTTACTAAATCAAAAGGGCCGACTCAACTCATGACTTACCTGGCCCAGAAACCATTATTTGTATACTATCACAATTATTTACTATAATTATCTATTTATATATTATATATAAGAAAAGAAATAGCTTATCAAAATACAATTTTACCCTTAATAAATCATAGGTGTCGAGTTCTCCTTAATTGTCTCATTTGCTATACTAATGACACGTGGCCATTTTACTCAAAGTGTCGAACTTCTCACGTAGAAATTGAAAGAAAAGAGGGGAGATGAAGTTGGTGGGCCCCAAGCTATAAAAAACCCCAAATTTCTTTAAACTGTTATAACTTTTTCATTTTTAATTCAAATTTTATAAATAATATATCAAAATTCATATTTTTTTGTGATCTTTCATATGAGATCCATATCAAATATATAAATAAAATTTATTAACGGTCACTATAATTATGTTTAAGATTATTTATATACATTTCCTGATCTATTTTGTTGCCTGAATTGGAGAAGTTACTGTAGGTGATCATATTTAGCTACATTTCATATATTTTTTTTCTTTATTTTATTAATAAAAGTAATTTAAATTAAATTCATCCATACACCAAAAGATTCAACTAATTCAACCACTTCTCTCAGAATTTCATCCATTTCAACAAATTCAGCTGTTTTCAGTACTACTAAACGGTCTCTAAAGTCAAAATCAAGCCATGAAAGGAAAAATCTAAAAATACTAAATTTATTTAAGAATACTTTTAAAGTATTTTATAATTTGATGTGCACTGGGTTAATATATAAAAAACCCGCAAATGAAAATCTAATTAGTTCTAATAAAAAAAATAAGAAGCAAATAAGAAGTCTAATGAAAATAAACTTGCAAATCAAAAGTTCACACTATTCATAATAATAAACCTGCATAGTAGAAGTTCTTGCAATCGAAAAGATATACTCTGTATGAAAAAAACTCAAAGAACTAACAATCTAATGATGGAAAGTTATGTTAGATTGAAGGACAACAAGTTAATCAAAATGGAATTATTTAATTAAGTAATGAAAATGTGGAAGACGGTGAAACAAAATTGTTATTAGGTGAACCATTACACATTTGTGGAGGATGTGAGGTAGTTTTCTCTCTTATACTCCGTATATAATGTTTATAGGTATAAGATAAGTCGCCTAACAATTGAGCGGAATAATTTTCTCTCTCATATGTAGTGTTTTTAAGTACTTCTTCCGTAACAAAATATGTGATGCTTTTAGATATAAGAAAGATTAAGCCATAAGCCGTCTGACAATTGAGCGAGATATATATATATCTCTCATCTCAATACGCAGTGCTTTTAACTATAACATAATCCAACTAACAATTGAGAGAGAACTTTTTGTATCATATATAGTACTTTTGGGTATAACCGTATAAGAAAACCCGGCTAACAAATGAGCAATATAATGTTCTATCTCATATGTACCACTTTTAGTTATTAGAAGATAAACTTGCTAAAAATTGAGCGAAAGAACTTTATCTCTCATATATAGTTCTTTTAAGTACCCCCTCCGGTTCTAAATTAAGTTTACACTTTCCTTTTGGACAGTCTCATATTAAACTTTACACTTCCTTATTTAGCAAACAACTCTGCACCAAGCAGTGCAAAACAGTGCCAACAATTGAGAAGGAGAATTGAGCGGGAGAATTTTATTGCTCATATGTGCTTTTAGGTATTACGTAGTAGAAGATAACCTTGGTAACAATTGAGCGGAGCAACTTTCTCCCTCATGTGTAGGTCTAAGTATAAGATAAGAAAACTAAACAATTGAGCGGAATAATTTTCTCTCATATGTAGTGCTTTTAGGCATATAAGAAGAAACTAGGAAGACAAACTTGCTAACAATTTAGTGAGAGAACTTTCACTCTCACGGGTAGTTCTTCTTAAGTACTCCCTTCGCATATTAGATAATCCGGCTAACCGTTGAGCGTTAAAATTTTATCTTCCATATGTAGTGCTTTTAAGTATAACATAAGTCGACTAATAATTGAACGGGAGAATGTTCTCTCTCATATGTAGTATTTTTTGATAAGACATGATAAGCTTGTTTGCTAATAATTAAGCGAAAAATTTATCTCTCTCATATGTAGTGATTTTAGTTATTAGAAGATAAAGTTGCTAACAATTGAGCGGAGGAATCATCATATATATGTAGTTCTTTTTAGTATAAGATAAGCCGACTAACAATTGAAGAGTATAATTTTTTCTCTCATACATAGTGATTTTAGGTATAAGATAAGATAATCCGGCTAACAATTGGTCCGGGTGGGAGAATTTTTCTCATATGTAGTTGTTTTAGGTATAACAAGATAAGCCGGCTAAGAATTGAGCAACAGAATTTTCTAATTTTCTCTCACATATGTTAACACTATTTTACTAATGAATGGCAATTTATTATTTACCTAATATTCGTCAATTTTAATATTTATTTTATTCACTTAAACTTCACGTCACTCACTTATTGTATTCACTTTTTAAGAATATTATTTAAGTTTAAAATTAATCTAATCATGAAAATGAATAAGTAGCAAATTCTAATGAGTAGTGTCAATTAACTTTTCCTAATATACTCTTTCAAATAAAACTTTTCCTAATATACTTGACATTGAATGTATATTTTACGGGCTTACATTTTGTGGTTCGATAACATCACTTTGACACTCCCAAGGAGGAAGTCACAAAGTTTGAAACTCATCCCAGTCAAGGATGTTGACATTTAACAATGAAGTATTGAACATATACTATAAAGAGAGACTACAAAGTCTAGCAAAAAAATCCTATAAAGTTCTTTTTATTTTAATATTTAATTGGATCATGAGTAAATATATATGCACCAACTGCTCTATCCCATGCGTATGCACGGGTACTACTGCTGCTTTGAAGCTTAAAAAAGTGATTGTATGTTTTATTATTTGACTTGGTCCCTCATTTTAACTGAAGTCCCCCTTTTGTTAGACCCACCATTTGTTTTTTTGTCAAGTTCGGACACAAATTTGGTCCAATAGTTCAGAGGTGAGCAATCCTCTATACATATGTATGTAAATATGTAAGTAATTTTTTTGTTTTTTGTTTTGTTTTTACATACATATATGTAAATATGTATGTATATATGCGTGTGTATGTATATGTGTGTATCTATATGTGTGCATGTATGTATGTATGTATGTATGTATGTATGTATGTATGTATGTATGTATGTATGTATGTATGTATGTATGTATGTATGTATGTATGTATGTATGTATGTATGTATGTATGTATGTATGTATGTATGTATGTATGTATAGAGTAATCTTCCTGACCGGAGCCGCCGTCCGGCCACCACGTTTTGAGGTAGTTCTTGGTGGAATTTTTTTATGAATTTTTTTTAGCGTGTTCTTCATCAAGTTTAGTTTATCCATACCAGATTTCAGCAAAAAATTCAATCTGGAAGACATCAAAAAATTCAATCGGGAAGACAGCCAAATGATTTTTGAAGGATAACTGCGCCCTTTATATACATATAAAACGCAGTTATCTTTCAAAAAATCATTTGAATGCCTTCCCGATCGAATTTTTTGCTGAAATTTGGTATGGATATACTAGACATGATGAAGAACATGCTCAAAAAAATTCATCAAAAAATTCCTCTGGGAACCACCTCAAAACATGGTGACCGGACGGAGGCTCCAGTCACGTATACTCGAGGAACATTTGTGTATATGTATATGTGTGTGTGTATATTAAATATATAGAGTATAGAAGACCCCCTGCTCGTATTATATATTCTAGAGAATTCGAGTCTGATTTTCTAAATTTCAATTATGATTCATTATTTCTATCTCATTGGCTTTTGTTCTTGAGGTAGTGACCTAAAGCCATTTTAGCTTACCTGACAAACATGCCCTTAAGCTTCCATTTGACATAAATTCATACACCAACATTTGTTCTCCTTGTTCAAAACAAAATCCCACAAGACCAACAAGGTTCTTGTGATGTACCCGAGAAAGTAATTCGATTTCAGTTTTGAACTCTAGTCCCCCCTGGATTGATCCATGTTGAGCTCTTTTAATGGCCACCACTTGCCCACATGAGAGTATTCCTCTATACACCTATGCCATTAGAGGAAATATATAGATTTACCGTAGCACAATTGGTAGCTAGTTGGAGGGTGGGTATATTTGAGTTCCATCATTATTTGTAATATCATCATACCTTGCCATATCCCCCGGAACCAACCTCATTGCTCTGAGCAAAGTCATTTGTGCATTTCTTGAGTTCATCATAAGAGAACCATCTCGCCCCTTTAAGCTGGGGTATGCCACAGCTGTCTTTGTTGCTTGGAGCCCAAGATGCTGGACAATATCAAGGAGCAGAGTATCATACCAAGACTAAGATGCTATTATGTTCATCTTATGCTTTAATTCTTTTAGCTTGATACAAGTATACAACCATAAATATCCAGACCAGATCTTATAGAAAATCAGATCACATTTTTTCAAGTGAAGAGAACATATCCTAAAGCACAATGTCCAATACATTATTTATAAACAAATCCATAATTTTTACCAAAAGGTCTTATCAGTTCAATTGCTCTTTCAACACGTTTCTTTTGTTGAACTGCATAAACTCCCAAACCAGTGAGCAACAGAACCAAAAACGCACAACCAACAGTTACTCCGAGAATCATCAGCCTTGAGCTTATTATGGATGTTCCACCATGCTCAGCTGAAAAGGGCAAGTTTTCTGTAGTTGGATTTTCTTTCATGAGAATTTTAGATTCTAATAAACTTTTGACTCAGTGCTTTTCCACTACCTGGAAAAGTGTAAGGAGATGCTATGAAATAGTAAGGCCCGAATTTCGGAGGTGGCTTAAATGTCTGATTACTTAAGAAAAATCCAATCCTCTGAACTTCTGACCTATTGAAATACATTCCTGCAGATGGAAAGAGTTCTACATGCACCAGAAGATAGTCATCCATGTTGATAAAGGGGTTCGTCAGAAAGACTGAGCCAAGGCTGAGTCCTAATTTTAGCCAAAGACTCATTTCAAGAGACTGGAACAATTCAACATTGGACAACTCCCTGAAGGAGGGTGCCCTGAAGTATAATGTTCCTTCATATGGGTACGCACAGTCACAACTTTGCGGCTAAGTTTTTTATCAGAGGAACAAGTTGATTTGCTTCCGCAGTTGGCTAGACTGGTAGAGTACGGGGTTGCAGCTTGTTGCTGAAGCTGACAATAGTCAGTTTTAGCAAGTGGGGAGGTGCAAACTGGGTTCCCTCTTAATCTGAAGAATGAAACAGAGAATGCTCATTAATCTAAGAACAGATAAATTTTGTCAGAAATTGATTTTGATTTAAAACTTGAATTTACTACCCCTCACATCAGTGTCTTTCTGTACCCTGAGCCAAGGGTTACTGATGATATCTCATTGTTTTGGAAATCCACGAGTTGCAATCGGTGACTTATGCTACTGCCCATATTCAAAGTCTCATTAAAGGCATTGTTCCGAAGCTTCCTATTGATGTTTTTGAAGTAATTGAGTAATTCTCTTACGGAGAAGTTCCTTGTGTGTAAGAAAAACAAGAGAACAACAAAGTTTACTCTTCTATGTGTGCCTTTAAGTGGGTCTTACAGTTGTTGAATCTGGGGGAAACTGAAAAGTTCCTGAGGTACTGGTCCCTGAAGTGAGCCATATTCGATCACCCTGAGCAACATACCATTTGTTAAATAAATATTTATAAAACAAAAGAAGAATAAAACAATGCAAAAAGAACACAGTCTAAACTTATGATATTGCAATTACTAACAGAGTTGTAAGTGATCGTAGAGTTGAAAACTAGACGGGAGCTTCTGACTGCTGGAAGGAATTGTTACTCAAATCCCTAAGAAGAGAAACAAGATTTTAGACTCCAATAAAATTAATACTTCTTTTCATGTTAATAAGTTATATTGGAAAGTATATTAGACTTCAGAAAATGAGCATAAAATAAAGCGTGGAATTTCAAAATGCACCTACAAGTAATTAAGAGAGTTCATTCCATTCAGGTCAGGTAGTGAGCCAGACAGCTTGTTATGTGCCATGTTTCTGCAGCCAAGGACTTGCATATTCATTCAAATTCAAATAGAGCAATATGTTTTCTTAAAATGGAGAACTATAGGTACTCACAATTCTATCGTGCTTGTCAGATTGTTGAGATTCAAAGGGATACTACCATTAAGGAAATTTCTATAAAGCCGGTTGCACGAATGAACATTAATAAATATACCATCCAGTCATATAAGAACTGAGAGGCAGATGCGTATACTATGACAATGCAGGAGAAATTGTGAGATGGTTGAATGTACTCACAGAACCTCAATTGTCTGAACTAGTCCTATTGTGGATGGTATACTCCCACTAAATTGATTCCCATCAAACAGTTTACCATACAGAACCTTTGATGATAAGAGATACAGGGGAATCAAGGGGTTAGTTCGATGATGGGTCTGGTATCTTGACTTACATATGTTTGAGCACCATGTTAGTGCTAAACAATTCAGCAGGAATTGTGCCCGAAAGCTGGTTTTTGTTGAAATGGCTGTGAAAGATTCAGATATTAGGTAGGCTCTATCCGGGGGGGGGGGGGGGGGGTACTTTAGATGTACAGAAAAAATGTTTGAAATGTTACTAGATCACTCACAAGTGTTTTGCCTTTCTAAGAAGATCCAGTCCCGGATTTTTGAATGTCGAAACAGGGAGAGATCCAGTCAACTGATTATCAGCCAGGTCCAGCCAGTAGAGTTTGGATAGATTACCCAAAGATGCTGGAATTTCACCAGTGAAGTTATTTGAGTTGAGTGCTCTATCAAGTAGCCATCATTGGACAAGTTAGTGATGGTTTACAGGTGATGGAGTATATGGCCCGGGAACCCCCGGCCCACAGACTCCTGCTAATCTATCACAAGCCCAACAAGCCCAAGGGGCTCAGGAGGCCCAAGAGTAAGCGGCCCAAGTGTCAAGAAGCCCACAGTACACACAGGGGTGCCTTCGGCCCCTTGGCCGAAGGCTCAAAAACTCACAGAACAACCATGTCCGACCACGCGAAGCTACTGGGAGAAAACGGCAAGAAAAAGGAGCCCTCGGCTGAACCAAACCTTCGGCCACACGAAGCCCTCGGCTACGCAAGGAGCCTTCGGCTACACAGCGCCTTGGTCACATGGAGCCCTCGGCTACGCAAGGAGCCTTCGGCCAAACATGCTCAATCATCGAAGATTCCTTTTGGAGACAGCCAACCACCGCATTTAATGCCACGTCACATCCGCCAACCGCATTCAATGCGGTGAACGTACCACTGTCGGTGCCACCCGGCTGATGTGACCCCTCGGCCGTCGGATTACTGACACGTGTACTCTCATCGCATTTATTGCTGCTATAAATAGCAGCCCTTATTCACCTTGTAAAGACACGCTGAGTTCATTTAATAAATCGACTCTCTCTCCTCCTATTTTGCTCTGACTTCTCTCTATTTATTCACGCAATAACCCCTCGGATAAGATACCCCCCGGGTAGACTATCCATCATTTGGTGCTCTCGTTGAGAGGTCTGAACTATCAAGTAAGAAACCCTCCCCCTCTACCAAATATAAAACACTTACCAAAGATGGGAAGAACCACTCGTGCCCAATCCAAAACCCTAGAGGAAAACCACGTAGCCCCCGGCGAAACCAACGGGGCAGAGGCCTCCAACAGGCTCTTAGTACCCGAGGGTGGTATCATCCTCGAATTGGAGCAGGCTACTGCTGACCTCCGTCAGCAGCTGCAGAAGAACGCCCCTGATGCCCGCATTGGCCTTGATAATCGAAGGAGGGATCGGAGTGAGAACCAAGTTCCCCCTCCGGCCCCGGCCATCGATCTTCAGGCTGCCTTTGCGGCCTTTGTTCAAAACATGGCCTTCAATTCCGGAGCCCTCATCTCCCAGGTGCCGCTTCAGCCCTACGCTGGGGGAAATATTATTCAATTGCCACCACTCCCTCCTCTGTTCAACGATCCTACCCCGGGGATTGGCAACGCCGAGGGGGTCATAGCACAGGATACCGCCTCCCAAGAGGCCCAATCCAAGGACAAACGCCCCATGATGAAGGAGAAACCTCGAACCTCTGCACTTGAGAGACTGGGGGGAGCTCCCGGGTCCCGAGGGGTCCAAGACCGCCTCGGGAAACAGGCGCTCAGCAGGCCCCAGGAAAGTGGAGCCTCCGCTTTAGGTGCCGAGGGCGTGCCTCCCCCCGAAGCAAAGGCAAAGCCCTCCTCCATGCCGATGACGCCAGGCACCAAATCAATCAGGCTCAATCCTTCCGGGCCAACTCCCAAGGGGTTGCCCCGAAGGATCCCAAGGACGAAATTATCGAGGCCCTCCTCCGCCAACTTGAGGAGAATCGTCAGGCACCCCCGACGGCTTCCACAGCAAGACCAGATCCGGAGTACGCTGACCTCCGGGCACAAATGGAGGAAATGAAACGTAAGCTCGCCGAAGGCTCAAACGAGCCCCTCATTCAACTCCGCACTAGAACACCCTTCACCCCAAGGGTGCTGGCGGCTAAGATTCCCCAAAAATACCGGGGGCAACCTATCAAGCCGTATGAGGGGAAGACAGACCCCCAAGAACACTACAGCCGCTATCAAAATAGCATGATGATGATGGGGGCCTCGGATGAATACTTATGCCGTTGGTTCCTTTCCACCTTGGAGGGACCCGCGTATGAGTGGTTCAACCGGTTGCCCGAAGGCAGCATTGATTCTTGGCAAGAACTTGCCCACCGCTTCCTTACGCAATTTGCCGGGAGGCACCGCTCGAAGAAGCACTTCTCCCACCTTCTGAATGTAAGACAACAGAAGGAGGAAACCCTTCGGAGTTTCCTAGAACGCTGAAGGCAGGCCTCCCTCGAGGTCGAGGGCGCCGATGACAGGACCCTGATGGCCCTCTTCCACACAGTCCTCCGCAATGGTAACTTCTCCCGGAGCCTTATCACTGATCCCCCCCGCGATTATACAAAGGCCCTTCAGCGGGGGGGACCGATATGCTGAGGCGGAGGAGATCGAGAAGGACCGCCGCAACGCGGACCCCTCTCAGAAGAATGAAGGCAGGAATCGGCCCGGAGGGCCTCCCCCTCCGGCCAACCGCGAGGCCCAATATAATGATCTCCCCCGAGGTGGCCAAGCCAGAACCGGGGGCGGTTACAAGAAAAATCCGAAGGCATGGGCGCAACCCGTCCTCCTTGAGCACCCACGCACTCCCTTGACGCATCCTGTCAGCGTCATTCTTGATCATGCAGAAGAGCGGGGGCTCGTTGAGCGAGACTCCCGTACACCCCTCGAGATTTATGCCACCGGTCTTGATGAGCCCTACTGCCGCTTCCACCGCCACCATGGACACAAAACCGACGACTGCCATCAGCTGAAGAACGCCATCGAGAGGCTGATACAGGCGGGCCACTTGTCTCAATTTATCAGGGGCCCTCCGCCCCAGGGTCCCCCTCATCATCAAGGCCCTCCGCCGAAGGCAAACAAGTGGGTGAACCCCAACACCATTCCCTTGGGAAACCCACATGGAAAGAAGCGTGAAATTGGCGGCCTCGAAGACGAGGGAGAGGGCTCCCACCAACAATACAAGCGCCACATCCACATGATTAATGGTGGCAACACTGGTGGAGACTCCACCAGCCAGCGGAAGAAGTGGGCTCAATCCCTTTACGTTGGGGAGGTCAGCCACGTGCCCCCAACTAAGAGGCCGAGGGGGGAACCCATCTTCTTCACAGATGCGGACCTACCCTCGGGTTCTCTGCCGCATAGAGATGCCCTCGTCATCCGCACTGAGATCAATGACGCCATCATCCTCCGGACTTATGTTGACACGGGGATCAATGATGCCCTCGTCAACGTCATGTATCTCAGCACTTTCCAAGAGTTGGGACTCGACAGGGGGTCCCTTCGGCACATCAACACCCCCCTCTCCGGATTCACGGGGGACAGCATCGACGCCGAGGGCGTCATCACACTCATGGTCGAATTCGGCGACGGATCCCATAGAGCCAAGCTCGAAGTGGAGTTCGTCTTCGTCAACCTCGACTGCGCGCATAACATCATCCTCGGCCGGCCTGCCCTCGAAGATTTGGAGGCTGTCATCTCCATGAGGCACCTCTGCCTCAAGTTCCCCACGCCTACCGGCATCGGTTACTCGAGGGGGAATCAGAAGCTCTCCAGGGCCTGCTACCTTCAACTCACCAAGAAGGTTAGTAAAACTGAGTTTCGTGTTGATACCATCACCACTAAGGCCTTAGAGGAAGAAGAAAGCAGGCCGAGGGCTGAACCTGCCGAGGAGACCGAAGACTTGATACTCAATCCGGCCAAGCCGGAGAGAGTCCTGAAGATTGGAGCCAAGCTCCCCGAAGACTTGAAGGCTGGCATCACCAAAGCCCTCCGCGCCTACTCCATTGTTTTTGCATGGGGGCCGGAGGACATGCCAGGTATTGACCGAAGGGTTATCACCCACCGCCTGGCGGTGGACCCTTCGGCCAAACCGATACAGCAGCGGAGAAGACCCCTCTCGGCCGAGAGAAGGGAGTTCGTGAAGAAGGAGGTGGCCATGCTCCTCTCTATCAAACACATTAAGGAGGTGAAATATCCTTCTTGGTTGGCAAACGTGGTCCTCGCACAGAAGCCCCCTACCTTTCGCATGTGCGTGGACTATACAGATCTGAATAAGGCGTGCCCTATGGACCCCTTCCCACTGCCAAACATTGATCAACTAGTAGTTGAGACCGCAGGATGCGAAATCATGTCATTCCTCGACGCATTCCGCGGATATCATCAAATCTACATGCGTGAGGGAGACGCTGAAAAAACTGCCTTCATGACACCCGAAGGCATCTTCTGCTATCTTGTAATGGCCTTCGGCCTAAAAAATTCGGGCGCCACCTACACCCGAATGGTGGCCAGGGTTTTTCAAGCGGTCTTGGGGCGCACCATGGAGGCCTATGTTGACGATATGATCGTTAAGAGCAAGAAGGCCAGCACCCACGCTGAGGATCTCCAGGAGATCTTCGCCATCAT